ACGTTCGGTTTCTTCCTGCTCCAAGCGTTGAATTCCAGCAAAGAGTTCGGGCAGCAGTGATCGGGAAACCTCGAACTTTTTCGCGGCATACTCGCCAGTGTAAAATTGGACATCCTTCCATCGGCAAAGACTTCGACACGATGTGAGGAAACATTTCTATCGCATTACCCGCTTAATCTTATACGAAGTAATGAGTAAAAAGCGACCGTCCTGCATATCTCGAAACATGTCAACGAGCAGACGCTGTAAACAGGTATCCAGTAACTCGTGCTCCCCGTCGGCATGCAGTGTCTGCAGATCATACTCGCAAAGACATCGTCCGAGATACTTCACATCCACGTTGCATCTCATGCAAACCTGTGCCGTGGGATTCGACATGCCCTCGGCGGGGTGATCTCTCTGAGGCTGGAAAACGTGCGGGGACTCGTTTTTTTTTTTTTTTTGCTGTGGCAATGCATCGTGGTCACGAGGGAGAGCAGCGAACCCGGCTTGGGGAACTCGAGGCCAGCCCTTGTAACATTTGAGACGCACCTTCTCCTCGCCCTCGTAATTCCTCTCAGTCGTCAGTTCCAAGTGAAAGCAGCCGAAGCGACATCCACGCTTGCCCTTGGCAGACTTCCTGAGCTGCTACCCACGCCGACACGTGCTACCTTGCAAACAAGCACACACACACACACACACGCACACCATAACACACAAAAGACATCGCTCACACAAACACACCCACACACACGCACACGTGCGGACAGGAAACTTCTTGAAACAAGACTTCGTGCACTTGTGAAAGTGGTTTTGAATGACCAGACGCCGATAGTCCTTGCACAGCTGCTGCGACCACTCGGAACCAGACAGTGCATCTTCCTTGCGGCAGCGGCGAAGATATGCCGGTCTCAGCGAATTATAGCAGCCCGTCAATCGCAAAGGTGCCTGGTCGGTACTCTCCGTGGCCGCACGCTCATGCCCGTCCGGCTCCTTCTCTCCCAAAGGAGCCCCCGCATACTGATTGCCCGCAGACGCCTTTAGGCGCTCGCCAAGAGGCAGGGGCGCGGCATCGACGGACAGCTGGGCAGCCAAAGCAAGCTGGCTGTCATATCGAATGCGGCTTGCGGCCTCCAAGACTTTCTCGCGCCAACGTTGGAGCTCGGTCACGACCTCACCTCGCGCAGCCCTGGCCATCATGGAGCGCAGACGACTGCCCAGGTCGTGGCCCAACAGAACGATCAAGATGTGGGGATGCATCGAACCTCGTCCTTGAGTCTCCCGAGGGCCGCAGAAAGCGGCAATGTCACCGAAGCAACCTGGGAAAGTCGATGCCGCGAAACCATCTTCGTAGAGCTGAGCCTTTCCTGCACGAAAACTCGCTCGAGTAAAGGGTGGCAACGTTCCCAGCACCTCTTCGAAAAACAAAGTCATCATGAGATCGAAAAACCTCGCCTGCGACACGGGATCGGCTGCCAACATACGCCTCATGGCGGCCAAGGACGGCAGCGAGGGCTCTTCCAAGTCCCATCGCAGATCGACGGCGAAGTTTTCGACCTTCCCTTCCGCGCCTTGAAGGTGCAGCTGCAGCAGCAAAGAAGCACGGGAATCCGCCAAATTCGGCGTCACGAAGACGTGAGAAGTCCCGTAGTGCCAACCATCCGCATGGCCTCGAAGTCGAATTTGACTGCGGTGTCCTTCCGTGCCCAAGACGTTCGCGCTCGCCTGCAGCACGCTGCCAAGCGCGCGCTTCAACGACACGTCAACATCCGGCGACCGCAATAACTCGCGAATGTCGGCCTTCTCGCCGTGCAGGGCCATGGCCTGCAGCAGCTGTTCCGTGGTCACCGACGCAATCTTCGCACAGTGTCGACTGAAACCACTCCGCTTCACGTAGGCTTTCGATGTCCGCATAAGAGAAAGTCTGCGGTTCACATCGTACATGACAGGCAAGAGCTGCTCCTGCTGCGAGCCCCTTCACTTTCACAAATCCGCCAGCTTTCGCAAGACAGCGTCCACTGGCGGAATTATTTAATGTCGATTCTTAACTCCAAACCCCGTCTTGAATGTAACACTGCCAGGACACGGACATACTACTTTCACATATCCGCTAGCCGGCGGAAATATTTAATATCCATTCTTAACTCCGAACCCGGTCTTGAATGTAACACTGCCAGGACACGGACATACTCCACCGAGGAAGGGCCGGCGAAGCAATCGTGTCGCCATAAACCAGCTCTTCTCGAAGCAACAAATACCGAAATACCTCGCCCGCCTCCATGCCCGTCTCGCGCCTGACGAACGGAACGCCGTCCCCCCAAGGAAAAAGCTCCGGGAACGCCATCGCCCAGGTGGCCGGCTGAAACATGTTCATCGGTTCGTCACGAGAAGGTACCACGAGCTTTTGCGGCCGCACTTCAAACATCTGCTTCTGGGCTCGTCGCTCCTGCTCCACACCCTTGGCCATCGACTGCACCTTTTGAACACGGCGCAGCACTGCCCGCTCCTGCTGGCCCTCGCGCCCCAACAAGCCCACAGCATGCGGCCGATCCGGATCCACCTCGTTCTGCACCCGGCTGCGAAGGACGGATTCCGCATCCGTGTAATATTGCGGAGGCCTGCGACGACATAGTTCTTCTACATCGCTACACACTCGCAACCAGCGATTGCCGTCATCCGACTGATCGTTCAATCCAACGATGCTGGATACCAGATGGCCAGAATCCGAATCAGCACCTGAACTTCGCAAGACGGCGTCCTCCAAGTTGCTGGCGCCGGCAGCTGGACTTCGCAAGACAGCGTCCTCCGAACCGCCGGCGCCGCGACCAGGATCCGGATCAGCAACTGAACTTCGCAAGACAGCGTCCTCCAAGTTGCTGGCGCCGGCAGCTGGACTTCGCAAGACAGCGTCCTCCGAACTGCCGGCGCCACGGCCAGGATCCGGATCAGCAACTGAACTTCGCAAGACAGCGTCCTCCAAGTTGCTGACGCCGGCAGCTGGACTTCGCAAGACAGCGTCCTCCGAGCTGCCGGGGCCGCGATCCAGATTCTGTTCGTCTGGCTCGCCCTCCTCATCTTGGCCTTGCGCATCGGCCGGGCCCTTTTGCAAAAGTTCGCGGGCCAAGTAACTGTCAGCGGCCGTTTCCAAAACGCAGCCTTCCAGTGCGTCGACGTCGTCACCAGGAGTTAGGCCGGCCTCCAGCGCGACCGACCTGTAGTAAGGCGACGTCTCGCGCAGCTTCTCAACAGCGGCAACATACTCCTCTCTGGGAGCTTGCAAAAGCTTGCTGGACCGCAGTTCCTGCTTCTTCTGCCCAACCAAAACGAACAAGATGCTCTCGGCCATGTCTTGGTCTTTGGGAGGCAGAGTAGCCTGGATGGCGCTAGGCCCAGCCTGCGGCAGGAAGATCGTGTTACCGATGTATCCCTTCTGCCTCTCGTCTCGCGGCAGTGACAAAGGTTGCAAGACGGTCACCTGCATGCAAACCCGCACGATGGGAAGCAGCCGTTTTGTTCCAGCCGAGAGGTTGCTGAGCTCGGGCAATACGCGTCCGATCCAAAGGTCGTTGGCCAGCGCATGCCTGGGAAGCGTGAGAATACTGCTCTTCAAACTCCTGCGACAGTCTCTGCAAACCGTACAGGGGTCCGTGAAAGATGCCGGCATGCGGCGGCGATGCAGCAGCAGAAACTCGCCTTCAATGTACGGATGCTCCACAGCAGAGGCCTTCAGTTCGGAAAGAGCTATCTGCGGCCAGCGCTCCGCATACCGAGCGACGCCCAACAATCGGCAAAGACGGTGCTGCTGATTCGGGGCCAGCGTCTCGGCGCCGGCAGGTACCTCGATTGTCGACGCATCTTCATCCGGCCTCTGAAAGAGAACCATGGAAAACAACTCGTTCATCCAGAAACGGCGAGCGCACACCACGCAGCCTCCTTCCGCTCGGCCACCGTCCATTTCAAGAGGGCATCGCAGCTCCTCGTCGAAATTGGCAGCGATTGCACGCTGACGACTCATCCCAGGCACCTGACTGTGATCGTTCCTAACACGTTATTACGCACGTCGACCCTTTACCGTAACCGAAAGCAAGAAGGCGCAGCATGCGACAAGAAGCCATCGGACCGGCATGCTCCACCATCGCCAGGATTTTCTTGCGGTATTCAACGAAGGCGAGCTCCACATCCAGCGGCCGCACGAGATGAGTGTCCACGACGTGTTGCTTCAGCTCCGATTGCTTCCGGCAACTGAAGTCGCATAAGCGGCAGCAACACCGTTCGCACGTCACCGATGCATCGTCCGAAAAAGTCTGGAGCAGGCGACGAGCTACCGCCTCGCTTACGGCAGGTACGCTCCGAGAGCAATTCAGCAGCACAGCGACGCGATCCAGCTTCAAAGGCAACGACACCTCGGAGTCTCGCAAGATCCCGAGCGCTTGCCGCCCCGCCTCGTCCGCGTTCCGAAGCAAGTCTTCCACGGGCAAGAAACGTTGCTTCATACGCCTGCCCTCACACCACCCGGGGACGGCGAACAGCACTGCCCGCTCCACGGCCGAACGCCAGAGAATGCCGTCTAGCGCCTCCGAGCCATCACCAAGGCAGTCAAGTGCCAGCCAGCACAACGGATCGAAATCCGGCGGATAAGCCTTTCTCATGGCCCGGGCCCTCGCAGTGGCACCGTCAGGGTAGTACGCTTCAACACCCTTGGCCAGGACTGGATTCTCCTCTCGCGAAGGCAAACGGTAACACCCTTCAGTCGTCTGCCAGTCCAGAAGCTGATTCCACAAGGTGAGCGTGTCTTTATCTATGCCTTGCTCGCTAGCCCTGGCTGCCGACACTGTGTTAGGATTGTGCAAGTCACGAATGCCGATGCCAGCCAGCGGGTGCAACAGCTCCGTCACCAAAAACCAAGCAAATTGCGACCAGTCTTCAGACTTCCGCACGTCCCCGAAGGTCTGGTACCAGTACAAAGGTTCGTCCGGCTGTGCTTGTCGCTCCCACCCATACCGACGCATCAGCCCCCGAAGCAGTGTGGTATCGGCCCGATCGAACTTGCGAGTGCGAAACTTGTGCTGGATAATGCTCAGGACAGCCTGCCAGGACCCGATGAAACAAACATGAGCGAGAAACGCACAGCAACGCGTGCGCACATGAAGCTACAGTCCAACTTAATCCTCATTATGTCCATGACCCCATGCACGATCACGTCCCAGACTCTCTATGTTTCGGGACGGCTTCGCGCGGGTTGCCTCCAACACCTCTTGGCGATCTTCGTACCCGTCCGTTGCACACGCTCGCGGCTCCGCCTCGAGGTTGGCCAGATACCAGAGCCGGCGAGCAACGTCCACGGGGTCCACTCGCTCGAGGCAATCTGCAAGACGCCACCAACCTGTTTCCCGAACTCACACGCACAACGCACGACAGCAACACGGCATCCAAGACATTACACGAAGATCGTGATTTGCGATAATGCTCGCCTGTCCGCTGATCCACGTGATCTTCCAACACGGCTGCAAGAAGACAATGCTGCATGGAAGAAGTCAGACACGGCACAGTCGCGTCTCTCAAGCCGGCAACAGCAACCTCCCACGTAGAACTCACTTCTCGAGACAGCGCCGTGTCGACCTGTGACCAATGCTGCAGACTGTCCAGAATCTTTTGCGCAAGTAGATCTCTCTCCGAATCGGAAGACAGATGTCTCGCGGAAAATGATTCTACCGTAATGTCCAACGAGTACGCAGCCGCGGATTGGCGCACGTTGGCATCCTCGAAGATGTCGCAAGCAGCTGCAACCACCGCTTCAGCATCCTGTGCTCCGGCTCTGCGAACCGCGTAGAGGGATCTCCACATTAGGTACTTGATGTCACCGTCTGCACTCGGAACGCGCAGGGGGCACAACGCCATGACAATCCGCTGAATCAAGACCTGCTTGCTCACGTCCTCAAACGCCACACCCAGATCTTCGGCCACTCGCTGCATACAGGGTCCATCGGCCCGCAAGGGCAAGACACGAAGCCGCGCCCGAATTCGAGGTGGTGCCTTTTCCCCGAGCTCTCCTGCCAAGCGCCGCAAGCCATCTGCCGTGAAGAGGTCCTCGATATTCACCTGTAAGCACTGAAACAAACAGACACACACACACACACACACATGCACGCACACGCCCCCCTTCCCCCCGTCATACCTCCTCCTGGATGATGCCCAGCGACAAAGCTTCCAACAGATCCGCTTTGGAAAGCGTGTGCCCGGCGCGGTGTCGTCGCACACTCGCAACGACACAGAGCCCAACCAGCTCAACCTTGCCGTGCTTGTCCAGCTCGGTGCGGAGCCAGGCTTCGCCCTGCTCGGCATAACCCGTGCGCAGCTCGAGCAGCCTTTGCTGCGACGCCGCTTCATCGGCCTGACACCAAGAACTGCTTCACTGCAGAGCACTAAACATCCCACCCGACGACGACGCTGACAGCTCACTGCAACCGAAGCTGACATGGACAATCCTAAAAAACGCCGCTTCCCCATGAAGCCTGCTCCCCGGCAATGCTCTGTGATAGAGCTTTCGACAACTCCGGCTTGGTAAGCGTGCACCCGGCACGGTGTCGTTGCAAACCCGCAGCGACACAGAGCCCAACCAGCTCATCCCGACTCTGCTTCCCCAACTCGCCGCGGAGCCAGGCTTCGCCCTGCTCGGCATAACCCGTGCGCAGCTCCTGCAGCCTTTGCTGCGACGCCGCTTCATCGGCCTGACACCAAGAACTGCTTCACTGCAGAGCACTAAACATCCCACCCGACGACGACGCTGACAGCTCACTGCAACCGAAGCTGACATGGACAATCCTAAAAAACGCCGCTTCCCCATGAAGCCTGCTCCCCGGCAATGCTCTGTGATAGAGCTTTCGACAACTCCGGCTTGGTAAGCGTGCACCCGGCACGGTGTCGTTGCAAACCCGCAGCGACACAGAGCCCAACCAGCTCATCCTTGCCGTGCTTCCCCAACTCGCCGCGGAGCCAGGCTTCGCCCTGCTCGGCATAACCCGTGCGCAGCTCGAGCAGCCTTTGCTGCGACGCCGCTTCATCGGCCTGACACCAAGAACTGCTTCACTGCAGAGCACTAAACATCCCACCCGACGACGACGCTGACAGCTCACTGCAACCGAAGCTGACATGGACAATCCTAAAAAACGCCGCTTCCCCATGAAGCCTGCTCCCCGGCAATGCTCTGTGATAGAGCTTTCGACAACTCCGGCTTGGTAAGCGTGCACCCGGCACGGTGTCGTTGCAAACCCGCAGCGACACAGAGCCCAACCAGCTCCGCCCGACTCTGCTTCCCCAACTCGCCGCGGAGCCAGGCTTCGCCCTGCTCGGCATAACCCGTGCGCAGCTCGAGCAGCCTTTGCTGCGACGCCGCTTCATCGGCCTGACACCAAGAACTGCTTCACTGCAGAGCACTAAACATCCCACCCGACGACGACGCTGACAGCTCACTGCAACCGAAGCTGACATGGACAATCCTAAAAAACGCCGCTTCCCCATGAAGCCTGCTCCCCGGCAATGCTCTGTGATAGAGCTTTCGACAACTCCGGCTTGGTAAGCGTGCACCCGGCACGGTGTCGTTGCAAACCCGCAGCGACACAGAGCCCAACCAGCTCCGCCCGACTCTGCTTCCCCAACTCGCCGCGGAGCCAGGCTTCGCCCTGCTCGGCATAACCCGCGCGCAGCTCCTGCAGCTTTCGCTGCGACGCAGGTTCATCGGCCTGACAGCAAGAACTACTTCACTTCAAAGCACAATACATCCCACCTGACAACGACACTGACGCCTCACTGCAACCGAAGCTGACATGGACAATCCTCAAGAACGCCGCTTCCCCATCAAGCCTGCTCCCCGGCAATGCTCTCTGATAGAGCTTCCAACAGCTCCGCTCTGGTAAGCGTGTGCCCGGCAGACTTCTGTTGCACACCCGCAGCGACACAGAGCCCACGCAGGTCCTGCCGGTTTTGCTTGTCCAGCTCGGTGCGGAGCCAGTCTTCGCCCTGCTGGGCATAACCGGCGCGGAACTTCTGCAACCGCGAATCCATGGGATGGAAGAAGGCGTCCACGCCGGCCCTTTCGCAAGACAGCGTCGAGGCAAGCAAAACACTGTCCCAAGTATGTTCAAATGCAAAAGTGTCTGCACCGACCCTTTCGCAAGACAGCGTCGAGGCGGGCAAACAACTGTCCTAAGTATGGTCAGCTGAGAAGATGAGAATAAGCTGAGAATAATCTCCACACCGGCCCTTTCGCAAGACAGCGTCAAGGCAGGCAAGGAAGCGTACTAGGTGTAGTAAGATGCTGCAATGTGTGCAAAATACTGCAACGCGTTTTCCCTTTCTTCCCCTTCTTCTGCCTTTCGAGCCAAACGAGGCAGGCAAACGTGCAAGGAGAAAGCCTTTACAGAGCAGCAAGAAACTCCGAGCCTGCAGAAGTCATCGGCCAGGCAGCCTGCGAGTCGAACGTGTGCAAGGAGAAAGCCTCTACAAAGCAGGAGGAAGCTCCGAGCCTGCAGGTCATCGACCAGTCAGCCTGCGAGTCAAACGTGTGCAAGGAGAAAGCCTCTACAAAGCAGGAAGAAGCTCCGAGCCTGCAGGTCATCGACCAGGCAGCCTGCGAGTCAAACGTTTGCAAGGAGAAAGCCTCTACAAAGCAGGAAGAAGCTCCGAGCCTGCAGGTCATCGGCCAGGCAGCGGCGCGTTGCGCCGTCGCAAGACAGCGTACGCGCCGTACAGGCGCATGAATATATGTCTATCTATCTATCTATCTATTATATCTATTATCTATCTATCTATCTATCTATATATGGATAGATAGAAAGATAGATATATATATATATATATGTGCGTATATTATCGATATATGCATCTGCCAATCCCTCTGAAGGGTTGCCAATTGCACCTCGCAGAGATGCAAGTTCCTGCAATCGACCACATATATATATATATATATATATATATATGTGCGTATAATATCGATATATGCATCTGCCAATCCCTCTG